AGTTGACTCGAGTCTAGTTCTCTACATCATTCATATAATCTTGGCATATGATTGGTTTATTGTCATGTGATTTTAAAAGGCATGCCCAAATTTTTAGCCATGCCCTAAACCTTAATTAGATTGTTTTGATTTTACGTTACACCTAATCTTTCAATCTAATTAGCTTAAAATCATGTGCCAGAAAAAATTTTGTAAGTGAGCTACTATATATACGTAATTAATATTATTTCCTATGGTCAAGGACAGTGATTTTTTGTGTTTCACATAACACCACAGAATTCACATAATTATGGTCAAATCACATAATTATGGTTTTATCACCACATAACCTCACATAATTTAAGAATTTTAAGAAATCTGCACAGAATTTGTGATTTTATCTGTAGTGTTACCATCGTATTTCTAGAATAAGATTAGATAATATTGATGATACGATCTTTAAAATAAAATTTTAAATACTAACCCGAAAAGTAATGTAATTTAATTCATAGTGTATTAAATCTGAAAGAAGTAATATTACTAAAACAGGTGTAATTAGATTAAGGCTGTGTATAAAAAATGTGAAATTCTTAGTTAATTATACTGTCTTTGAAAATTCATGCGAAAAAGAAGATAAAAAGAATAAAAGTATAATACAATAAATAAATACTTATTGTTAAAGTCTAACTAAGCCTTCAATTCATATGAAATTCTGTAATTTTTTCAAAAAATAAAATAAATTAATAAAATTTATATTTTGTAAAAATATAAAAGCAAGGTTAATAACAAAAAAATTGTTTATAATGATAATGTCTAAAAGAAAAAGTGTTACAATTTTAACTCGACTTCAAGAACATCCAAATACTTTTCGAGTTGATAAGAATGTTTTAATTTGTGAATACTGTAATGAACCTGTAGAATGAAAGTCAAAGTCAACAGTTGATAATCATTGTGATAGCAAAAAGCATAAATCAAATAAAAGTAATTTTGAAGTTCAAGAACATGCTAAAAAGCAAATATCTATCTGGGATAGTTTAAGTGCAGTGGATATTAAAAATGAGGTTATAGAAAATTTAATTGAAATATTTGCTGTTGCTAATATTCCACTAGAAAAAGTAGATTGTTTGATTCCATTTTTTAGAAAACATCTCAAGTATGGTGGAACAATTCCTTAATCTTCAACTTTAAGACAAATTTATTTACCATACATCTTTGAAAAACATCAAAATAACCTTAAATTATTTTTTAATAACAAACCTGTTGCAATTATTATGGACGAGACAACTGATAGTTGTGCTCACAGTGTAGTTAATACACTTTTTGTATTTGTAATTCCACCAAACTAGTTTCAGTTGATTTTCTTGAACATGTTAATAATACAACAATAGGTCAAACTTTAATCTCTATTCTTTCAAATTATAATGTTTTATATAATATTACATATCTTTTTATATCAGATTCGGCAATGTATATGACAAAATGTTACAAAGAAGTGCTGGTACTATTAATGCCACAACTTATCCATTCACCTTGCTATGCACATATTCTTAACTTAGTCAGGTAATATTATTTATTCTTTAACATATATTTAATAAACTATTTAATTTACAGTATAATTATATACTAAATTTAAATTATTTATAGGGATACATGGAGAACTTTTAAAGATTTTTCTCTTTTAACAATTTTTTAGCAAAAGTAAAGGATGTATTTATTAAATCACCTGCACGTAGAGGTCGATACATAGCTTATTTAAAAATGCATGGTATTATTAATCCATCTAAAATTTCACTTCCAAATGCAACAAGATGGAATTCATGGTTTCGAATAATTTTTTACTCAAAAACTTATATTGAGTATTGGCCTGGGTTTTTTTCTGATAAATTAACAATAGATAAAAATTATGAAACTTTATTAGAAATTAACTCATATTTACAAAACTAAACAAATTTTGGAATAATTAAAATTTATATCAATTTTATTTCTATTTTTGCTCAAGAATCCATTCAAGATTTAGACTTTTTCAGCAACAAACATGGCCTATATTTTTTTCTCTTGTAGAATACCGGTTAGAACAACTTACTGCCTATCTTGAAACAAATTAACATGCACAATATTTCAGTCAAGAATTGGAAAACCTTATTATTGATCTTTAATTTAATCCATTAAATTTTTATACTATCTTTCATAATGTATTTCAGACAGCATATAATAAATTTTCAGTATACATTCCACACCACCCAGCTCACAAGTTATTTCAAGCATCTCATGTATTTGATCCTACTTATATTCTTACTAATGATATTTCAAGAAAGAATATTTGTCATTATAATATTATTAAAGAACTTAAAAATCTGTCAGATGCATTAATCTGTGAATGGTCAATTTATTGTAATTTGCTATTTCAAGAAATGGAGTTGGATGTTTTTTGGTCAGATTTATGTTCACGACTTCCAATTTTATCAAACATTGCACTTAATTATATTTGGTTACCCATTTCAAGTTGCAGTGTTAAATGTAGTTTTTCATTATATAATTTACTTTTATATGAAAATAGGCAAAACTTGTCTAAAAAATCATTAAAAAATTTAGTAAAGTTATATTTAATGAAAATTAAATTATTTTTTAATAAAATTTTTATGTAATCAGTCACATATTATCACATAATTGGCCATTTAATATCACATAATTTCACATAATTGGCCATCTGATATCACATAATTGCACATAATTTTCTAAAAATCATTTACATCACATCGCATAATTTAATTTTTGGTACCACATAATTTGCTATTTTGTATCACAGAAAATTACTGTCCCTGTCTATGATAATCAGTTTTCATTATAACTTATAATAACTGATAACATTTTTATCTGTAATATCTGATATAAGTATTGTTATTTTCATATATATTGATTTTTTTAATCATTTATCTCACTTTTACTCTTTTTTTATTTTTGCTTACTTGCACTTTCGCTCACTATTTTTTTTTATTTTTACTTTTATTTGCTTTTTTTTCCTTCGCTCAATTGTTTTCTTAAATTTTATATTACGAGTTTTATATAGCTTCATATGCAAAAAGAAATAAAATCAGCAATGTGATCAAAAAATTGAGTTATTATATGATTAGAAAGTGATCGAATAATAGATACAATATAGGATATGTTGGATTAGCTAATACTAATCAGTTTTAGTATATAAAAAATTAGTTGAGAAAATATTTAGGCATTAATTTTTGGTAGAAATAAAGCAAGTCATAAATGATACCGCATTCTGAAGTAAAAGCCAAATTATAATAAATTCTGGAGTCCCTGATAAAAAATTATCAGAATAATTTTTGCCAATTTAATAAGTTATTGACTTCTGTATAATCAGTATATATTTTTATATAATACTTATTTTACTAATAATTTTATTATTGTGATGTTAACACATTCGACATTATTAAGCTTTTGTTTGAATACTCGCCTAATATGTTTGAAACGTTAGCTTGTACAAAATTTATAGAAAAGATTGTTCTCTTTAAAAGTACTTAAAAATCCAGCTTATAAAAGATCTGCTAACACCTAAGTGTTTAGCAATTTTATTTGAAGTCTTGGTTCTTCTCGAATGGATATTTGATCCAATGATATTTTATTGAGTTTGTATAGGTGGGGTTCTCAAATACCATACTTGATATGTTGGTTTTGAAGTCTGATAATTTTCTTTTTAATCATCCCTTCCGCATAAATTGAAGTTTTCTTTAGGCAGAATTTTGTAAGATTTCATGTTACATATTAAAAATAGTGATTTATAGCATCTGCAAGAACTAAAATCAAATATTGGCCATCTTTTCTTTAAAAATAAAACCTATACAATAAAAATATATGAGAATAACTATTTCACTTGTGATGATATCACCTGATATTATAAAATTTTTATTAAATATTAAATAACTTTAAAATTAGAGTTAGGTTTAACTTATGTTAAGAATAAAAGGGTCTAAATATATATAAAATTTGGTGCTGAAAACTTTTGCTTTTTTTTTTTAATATTAATGGTGAGGCCATGCTTCTATCTTTATTGAATGTTTAATTAAAATCATTACATAAAGCACTAATCTACTTTTAAAATATTATAAATAGAATAGAGACTCAGGCTAGTTTATCTGCAGCTTAAACCAACTGGAGTGGCCAAGGCTCACCTAGATTTGGATATTAATAATAATATAAGAAATATTGATTTGGTATTTGATCTAATGTATATACCAAGAATTTATCTTAAAGCTAATAGAAGTAGAAGGAAGAGGTTGAGATATATGCAAAGTAAAATTAGAAGATAGGTTATTAGTAGAAGAATAGGCTGTTAATCTAGAAATTTAATAAAGAATCCAGATTTTATGATAAACTTGTTGATTAAGATGAAGTAGAAATTTGTTAACAAGTGTTGCAGCTATTTTTTGGGTTGATAAGTTTGAAACTGAAGTGATAATTTTATTTGGAACTAGGCCAGATAGTGTTGAGAAGACTGAAGGTGTATTTGGTATATTGTGTATAGTTATGCAGTATAGTTGTTTAATCTCATAATGCAGATTTGTTATAATATCATCGGTAGTGTCAAGTGTGGTTGTATTGAGAGTATGTTGTAATGAATCATCTATTAAATTGAATAATAGCTAGTCAGATGGACAGGTTAACCAGTAAAAATAAGAGCTGATATGATGACATTGATGGCAAGTAGATAAATATGAATGATATTGTTTGTGTAAAATATGTGAAGCAAGAAGTTCATCTAGTAAGATTTTAATCCTAAAAGACTTGAGAGCAGAAGATTGAAAACTGTGTGAGAAGTTAGATATCTTTTGATTGTTGTTAATATATAACCAAGTGGCTTGTCAATTAATTTGGTTAAAAATTTTGTTCCATTTTTGAAACCGGTTTTGTGTAATCTATAATGCATAGATATAAGCATAGCATATTGTACGGATGCTACAGTGAGTAGGTAACTCTAAAGAGAAGCTCTCAAAAGTTAGAGTATAAGATGGATTATAAATATTATAAAGCATAAATATAAGATATGGTAAATTATAGTGATTGTATGCAAGTTGGTCAGCAAGATTGTTGTAATTGTCATCTTGATAAGCAGTAACTTTGTGAAATATAATATGAATATTATAAGATTTGATAAAGTTAATAAGTGTATTTCATAGTGAAAAGTATAGTGTATGTGTATATGAAAGGGTAGTAGGAGAATGCATAAGGCTTTGGTATTTAGAAATTACAGATTGAGAATCGGTATATATATTTATAGTGCAGTTTCTAGGAGCAGTAATGAGAGCTGATAAAATAGCTACAAGTTCTGCTTTAAATGAACAAGGCCAGAGTTTTGTCTGAGCATGGAATGTATATAGTATTAAGTTGTTAGAGATTTGAATCCATCCAATATCCATAGAGCATTGTGGAGTTCCTAAATCAATAACAGAGCCATCAGTATAGAAGTGAAGTTCAGATAAGTTAGAATTGTAGTTAACAATTTGTTAAAGATTATTTGTTGACAAGCTAGGTTCAAAAATTATTGGAATTGAGTGTGTAGCAATACGAATATTAGGTAAACTTGGAGTTTGAATAGGGATTATATATAATAGTTATTTATTATACAATTTATAAATTAAATAATAAATTATATATAATATAAAAAAAATTAAAAAAATTGAAGTTTTTAAAAAATTATTTATAACTATAAATTTTTATTATGAAACTATATTTAATTTATTAATAAAAAATATTCTTTGTCTATAATTTTTCTATTTTAAATTTTATTAATAGCTTTAATATTTAAATATTTATAATTAAATTTAAAATTTTTCTTTGCTAAACTTTTTAATATATATTAAAAATATGTTAACAACTTAGATATTATTAAGTTAACAGTTTTAAAATTATTATATTATATTAAAATTATATTTTAATTATATTATTTTTATATAATAAATATATTTAGCAAAATATATAAGTTTCTGTAAAGTAGTGATCTGCATTACGTTACACTATAATCATGTATCAGATGACTAGCGAATCACCAATTAAATAATCAAAATTTAAATAAAACAGAGCAGCAAGAACTACTTAACCAATAACAAAGAAAACATCAGGCCCACAGACCATTTTGTATCATTTATCTTTACTATTCAACCTTAACCAAATAAGTAAATACAACAGTAGTAACTAAAACAACAAAGACAAAAAGACTACTGTAGCTAAACTAAACTCTAACTATACTGATACAAGTGAAAAGAAATAATACACTCTTTTTTCAAGACTATACTTATATACTAAAAGTAGGCCATCCAGCTTACCCTCTTTAAAAAACACTATAATATTATTATACTATAATAACAACAATAACCAATTTGTTTAAACAGGTTTTAACAACAACCAAACAGAGTCCTTAGGAAAAAATAACAAGACAACAATTATTTCTCACAATAACAACCTCAATATTACTATATTAAACAATATACTTCACCTCAGTAATGATGTTACTTCTAGACTTCTGATCAATAATAACAATACAGCAATATCAACATATAACATAGGATATACAGCAGGCTTCATTCAGCTTAATCTGAATCTTATTTAACAGAAAAATCTTGTAGATACTGAAATGATCACCTCTATTACTGAATTAGAGAATACATATACCAACAACAAAATAGAACCTAACACAGCCTCAATATCTGCACATCAAGAAAGTTTTAATATATTTTATATAGCCAAGTAATTAAACAAAACCTGATTAACAATACAATGCAGATAGATGAAAACATAACTTAAAAATAGCTAAAACATATATACAAAAAATTAACAAAAGAAATTGCACAGCCTTTTGATAACAACACATAGCATTATAATAAGCTAATTATCAGTTTTTAATTTAGTAAGTCTACAAGAATTTATCAAATACAAAATAGCAACTAAATCTACTATTATATTAGTAGAATTTATTAGCATATTTTAGAAGATTTTATTAGTATATTTTATTAGTATAATTTATATTTATTATATATTTATTTTTAGCTTTAGTTTAATAGTAAAATTTTTGATAAATAGTAGTAATTTTAGTATAATATTAGATATGTTAACAAGTACATTAACAGGTACGTTAACTGGTACATTAATAGGTATATTAACAAGTATATTAACAGAGTTGTTAAAAGGGTCGTTAACTGGATTGTTAAAAGGGTCATTAACTGGGTTGTTAAAAAGATCGTTAACTGGGTCGTTAACTGGATCGTTAACTAGATCGTTAACTAAGTCGTTTACTAATAGTTCAAAAAATATAAAAACTCTTCCTTTTTTCCCAAGGCAGAGCAGACTGTCTTCTTCTTACTTTTATTTCCTTGTTAATTACAACTTATTTTCTTGAAAGTGTAGCTATCACCTACTTTCTTTTTATTGTGTTTAATAAAGCTTTTATTGTGTTTTTATTATGCATTTAAAGTTGAGTCATCACCTCTTCTTTTTTCTTTGAGTATTTATTTTTGGTATATTGAGTTGAGCCATCGCCTTTTCTCCCTTTTCTTGAGTATTCTATTGTGTTTTAAGATTAGAGCCATTGCCTCTTTTCTTTATTTTTTTGGTTTATTGTCTTACTTTAAAGTCTCATTTAGCTTTTTTTCTTATTTTATTTTTTTCTTATTTGCAAACACATTTTTTAACCCTCTTATATGTTAAGTCAAGTAGTATAGCTTTACTAAGACCCTGTATTGCTATATTACACTACCCAAAAACAAATTCTCCCAAGTATTTTTACCAAATTCAAACACTTTGACAGAACATTTTTTCAACCTTTACTAAAGCCAAATGCTTTATACCACAACACCAATCTGAATATAAAGAGATGTTCTATAATACTTTACAAAATTATAAAAAAGCTAATTAGATCACAATAACAAACAGAGAAACAAAAGATAATATCTATCAGAAACTATAACAAAAATTATTTCTTGATTATATAACAAACACAAACTTTAATATCTGTCCTTCTAGATATATTATATAACTTATCAAATACTACAAAGAATTTACAAAAAATACAAAGCTAAATAAATATAAAGAAATTCAAAAAGTAGTTCAGAAGGCCTTTTCAGAAAAACTTCAACAACTACCTAGTTATTCAAATGACATTTCTGAAAA